CTTCCTTGCAAGACTGACTTTTCTGACACCCTCATGTTACAGTGTACAGTAAAATGACCCACGGATTTTTACTCTCTGCAGCTCAGCTGTACAGACACGTGCCCTGTCAGAGAGAGCTCAGCTGTGTCCTCCTAGTGGGCTCTCAGCTAGGGAATGTTCAGGCACAGGCAGACAAAGAGACAGAAGGGGATGGAGAGGAGCAGGTATGCGGTTCCAGGCATTTCCAAAGTCCCACAGTATTTGGCAAAAGAAAGAAGTACAAACAAAACAAATAAAAATTCATTTCATGCATCAGAATTAAAAAAAAAAAAAAATCGCCCCCAAAAAAAACCAAAACCCAGGAGAGCAGCTCTTTGTTCTCAGTGGATGCCAACAGGTTTAATCCAGGGATCCAGGGACAGCCACAGCTTCTCTGGGCAACCTGTGCCAGGGCCTGCCTACCCTCCCAGCCAGGAATTCCTTCCCAATATCCCATCCAACCCTGTTCCCTGGCACTGGGAAGCCATCCTCTCTGTCCTGCCACTCTTGTCTCTCTGCATCTTTCCTGGAGCCCCTCCAGGGCACCATCAGGTCACCCCAAATCCCTCAATCTTCCAGCAGAAAGAAGCCCTTCCTGTATATATCCCATGCTGACCAGATTCCTGTTTGCTGCTGAATATGGGATTAATTCTGAGTAACTTCAGCCACATCAGTGCTCTCTCACCTACTTGTCTGGCAGAGGAGCCCCTCGAACCCCCCTGCCTGAGGCTCCTCTCCCTGGACAGAACCACCTGCCCAGGTGCTGCTCTCTCTCCACACCACACTGTAAAGTCAGAGTCTATCCAGGATAATTTTAATAACTGTGACTTGGGTGAGATCTATCTCAGCCTCAGCTAATAACCTCCCTCTGTAGATAAGGGGAGACCCACAAAGAGCTGACAGCAGATCTACAAACGACCTCAATTAGCTCAGTTACAGGGGAAATCACACCATATTTTAGTATTATCAATCCTTTGCTGTAATCACTTTGTAATCACTTTGCAGTGATTTACTTTTCAGTATCACTAAGGTGTAAACTCAGAAGATGTAACACATTCTCTACGCTCTAAAACACTGGAAAGGAAGGATTTAAAAAAAAAAAAAAAAAAGAGAAATCCACAGGCTTTTATGTGCAACACCTGCACCAAGGTTTCCATTTATAATTTAGATAGAAAAGCAGTTCACAGATCATAATGAACAAGGTCTGAATAAACACAGCAGAGGTTTTATGTGCAGAGCAGGGTTTTGTTTGCCCCTAAAAGAATTCTGTTAGAAAGATTAATCCCATCCAGCTGAGAGTATTTCGAGACATTCTGCACAGACAGTTCAACGACTGGGTCAACAATTTCATCCCAGGCCCACTCAGAAAGGAGAGACCCCATTTACAGAAGAGCATTGGAGCCAAAGGGATTTCCCACCACCAAGAAAATCCATGAGGGGCGCTGGCTTTTTTGTTGGGTTGGGGTTTTTTTTAGGTGTGGGTTTGTGTTTTTTTTTTTTTGGGGGGGGAGGGATGTGTGTTGTGGGTTTTGTTTTTTTAAAGTAAGGAGCAAATTAAAAAAAAAAAAGTCACCTGAAATTTTGTTCAGATGCAGAAATGCAACACCCAGCAGTTGGCAACAAAGATGCTTCTACTGCCCCAGTTCCCAGCAGGGATTAACCCTGCCTGGCAGTGTCAGGGGCACAGCTAACCAGGAGCGTTATTGAGGATCAGTAGTCACAATAATAATAATAATAATAATAATAATTTAGCTGGTCAGGTAACTAAGCTTCTCTGTTAGAGTGGCTTTGAAAGGACAGGGGTCTCTGGGAGGCTGGGAAGGTGTTGGCCAAGCATCCAGGGCAGCTGTGTGTGCCTCATGCCCAGCTCCTCTGGGACTGCACCCCCAGGCAGGGACTGCAGGGGCTCAGCCAGGGGAGAGGGGACACAGGAACCTCTTCAGTGCCAGTCCCACCACGTTCCTATCAGCACATCAGGAGAACCTTCTGCTGGCCAGGGATTGGACTCCTCATGCCAAAGCCCCCCCCAGACACTGGGGCAAGCAGCACGATGGTCTCTGACAAATCTTCTTTTTCTCTTTACAGCCTGCGGGTTCACACTGGTGGCTGGGCCTTTAGAAAGCTTTTGCACAAGACAGTGATGGTCAGCACCAGATGTGCAGAGAAATCAGTAAAAAGCAGGATCTTAAAGGCTTTCACCATCGTACTTTCCTTTGATGAAAACAGCAAGCAAACAACGCAAAAAAATTCTTTCTTTACATCCATTAAAAAGGGCAAATTCATTACAAGTAACAAAAAAAAATGTTAAAGAGAAAAAAACTCGGCTTAAACCTTTTTTTTTTCCTTGTTACAAAATACTGACTCTTTCAAATTAAACATTTTTTTAAAAGTGTTCTGTGTTTGTTTCTTTTTTTTTTTTCTTTCTCTGAACTGACATGATCCTCTGAAGCAAAGTTATCTGCTTTCACACCTTGGTGGGACCTTTCCAAGCAAATATTGCTTTATTTTATTTCCTCTTTTAAGTTTCTAACAGAGCAAAAGCAGAGTCACTGCAGAGAGAAGCAATGAAACAAAGGAGGACGACGCTGATGGACTTCCCAAGGTCGCTGCAGGTGCCAGACAATGGTTCCCAGGAGGGGAAAATATGGTTGTTTAAAAACAAATTTGGTGCATGTGGCAAGCGTGGATGTGTCCCGTGAGATCCAAGGTGACATGTATGACGACAGACACAGGAGAGGGCAAGGGGGGGAGAAAGGGAGAGGGGAGGGAAGAAAAGGAGGAGGAAGAAGAAAAAAAAAAAGAAAGAAAGAGAGAGAGAGAAAGAGAGAAAAAATAGATAAAAAAAATTAGGTCATAAATATAGAAAACATAAGAATCCAAGGTCTATTTAATTTCGTAAATTAAAATGGCTCAGGGGGTTCAAGGATCAGCACATTCACAACAAAAGGGCTGGGGCAGAAGCTCAGCAAAGCCCAAAGCTGCAGAGCAGGGTCCAAGGCAGGGCTGAGGGGGTTTGCAAGCAAATGAGATTAAAACTGATGGAACAGAAGGCTCAGCGAGAAACACAAGAAAATGGTTATCTGGTATTTGAAAGGACAACGCTGCCTTTGACACGTACAGAGGAAAGGAAAGAAAAGCTTTTGTGGGGCAGACAATCCACCTGCCTGGCCAAGCCCTGCCCCAAAGCCTGGACTTGGATATGTCCAGGTGACTGAAAACCCTGAAGAAGCACCAGGGTCTGAGGAATCCACTGACTGTTCCCTTCAGCTGCTCGTGAACCACTCCAGTGCAATTATTATTATTATTATTATTATTATTATTATTATTATTACTGAGAACAGTACCCTTCTCCTTCCAGCCACACTGTACAGATGATGGTGACGAAGGACTCTCCATGATAAAGACACATTTGGTCTGCAGGGAACTCCAGCTATTGCTACCAAAGCCATGTCAGAGGCACTGGCTCTGACGTGCCCCGTGTTGCTCCTTTTGAAAGCAAAATGCAAAAGCAAAACGCCAGGAAAACAACAAGAGGTGCCCAAAGGGAAGGGAAGGAACACCCAGAGCCTCTTCCATGCTGCAGTCTGGCACTAGAGCCCCTGGGCTGCAAAAAACCTGCTCCCTGAAAATATTCTCCCCCACCCTACCAGTTTGGGGACCAGCTCAGGGAACACCTTGCAAGGCCAAAATGGCAAAAAACCCAAGAGACACAGTCACAAACCCAGCCCTAACCATGTCACTGCACGAGGGCTCTACCAGCACCTTCTGAGAAACAGCTGCATCCAGCTGTTGGGTCAAGCCTGCAGCACATCTGCACTCCCAAAAACTGTGCTTTGGGCATTTCCAAGAGCAGCATTCGAGTGGCAGCCTCAAAGCCTGGTTCCTCCTGTGCTCCACAGCAGACTAAGGGAGGGGTAACTCCAGAGAGGACAAAGGATTTTCTTTCACCTTTGATGACAACAAACTGGGCTTCTCTGCCCGTTTTTCAGAGGGTCCCTGCCCGTGTCACTGTTGGATTTAAAGGGCTCAGTGGCATCTGGGCTCATTTCACCTGCCATAGCCACGGGCTGCAGCACAATCACTGTGTGCCCAGACTCTGCTGATGCACCTCCCAGCTGCCCCAGCAGCTCTGCTGTCCCATCAGGGGTGTGACAAAGGCTAAAATAAAACACCAGCACAAGAAATCAACGGTGGCTGCACACAAAGGGCTGTGGTGGAACAGAAAGACTCATCAGTGCTCGTAACTTAACTGGGGGGACACATCCCAGTGCAAAGGAACCAGTCGCTGCTGTTCCAGCCTTGCTGTGTGGCTGCTCAGCTCTGAGCTGACCTCAGGGCACCCTCTGCCAAATTACCCTCACCCTCTGCTGCCACATCAGCCACAGTTGTCCTTCAAATGTGTGAGGGGAGTAAGTATTAGAGCTGTTGAAAATGAGAATCAGAGAGTAAGTTGCTGAATGAGTTACTGAGGGTTCTTCCACCCAGAACTACAGCCTTGTTCAAACACACCCCCCCGCCCCAGTCTCTCTTTGGCCTTGTTTCCCTCCTCCTCCTCCTCCTCCTCTCTGCCACACACACTGTCCCAGCCCAGCCCAACTAGGTCACTCATTTGTATGCTCAACAAATCATGATCTGCCCTAACCCACGGGGTTTCAGCATTCACACTGCACAAGGTCTCAGCTGTTTCCTCCAGCCAGGCAGGGAGTGGGCAAAGGAGGGGGCAGAGCAAGGGCTGAGTTCTCAGGGCAAGGGAAAGAAAACAGTGGTTCTGAAGACAAAACACGAGACTGAGTTCATCAGAAGGCAGAATGGAATCAAATCATCCCCCTCAGTGTGGACTGTCAGCACCAATCCTGGCATGATCTCTGGCTGTGCAGGGAGGACCTGACTTAGGAGATCTTTAACTCCTCTATCTTTAATCAGCACAACTTTCATGTACAGGTAGCCCAGCAATTCCATCCTGGGGTTCTGGTTGCTTTGGGTGGGTTTCCCCCAACCATTTTTCTTTTTAAATGTCCACGTGTAGGAAAGAAACACTGACTGGCCTTTCCACACCTTGCAAACTGCTCAGTTCCTGCAGCCCAGCTGATAGTTCTGCTTGGTTTTCACAGCAATTGCCCTTAAACCTCGCTCTTTAAGCACACCAATAAGTAAAGTCTGTCTGAAACAAGAGCTTCCAGCAGCATTCTAAAGCTTTTTAGTTATTTTTCCTAAATCCCTTTCCAACATTAAACAGGTGCTGTCATTTGATCTCCATTTCATTTAATAAAAAGATTTTCACTGTCTCCCAACCACTAGCAAACCTCCTTACGCCTTTATTCCTCCAAAGGCTGAGCTGGATGGACAAACAAGCAGTAAAAGCAAGCCCAGAGCAGATTTGGGAGGGGGGAAATCTGCGTTGTGATTGCAGATTGCCCCACAGAGCCAAAGAGTTTCAAAGGGGACCCCCCCACTTTCTGAGCTCAGAAAGTCTCACCTGGCAATCCCAACCCAGAAAAAGCCAACCTTCCCTGGGAACAGTGAGGCAGGGGGATGTCAGGAGCACTCCCTGCTGCTGCTGTACATACTGTAACACTGACCACAGGTATGTACACTCAGGCCAGAACTAAGCTTTGGATGGGGAACCAACCGTGATAAATGGGCTCGAAGCAAGCGAGTTGTCAGGGTTACTCAGGCACATTAAAGGATGCAGCACTGGTGCATTAATTGGAAGCAGAAAACAATGGAAAAGCTGTGCCAGGCGTACCTGGGATGACAGTGGGCTGGGCAGACGTCCTGAAGGCGTAGTGGGCGGGTTTGGACTTGCCCTGCTGGTTCTCTGCCACCACATAGACCTCGTAGTCCGCGTTCCAGTCCAGAGACTTCAGCATCACGTGGTCGCTGCCTGATGGGAGCCTGATCTCCGGCTTCCACTCCTGGGAGTGCTTCTGCAGGGCAGGGACAGGCAGGGAAACACAGCCCAGGGTCAGCAGCCAGCCTGGGGAGCTCTGAGAGGGCTGGGAATGGGGAGGTTCAGCCCCAGCACGCAGCCCTCAGCAGAGCAGCACGTTTGTATCCCCTCAGTCCATACAGGTATCGCCCAGGGGGGTCAGAGGATGGGCCCAGACTCCTTTCAGAGGTGCCCAGGAGGGGCAATGGCCATAAACCAAAACCCAAGTTCCACCTCAACACGAGGAAGAACTTCCCACAGAGGGTGGCAGAGCCTGGAGCAGCTGCCCAGGGAGGGCGTGGAGTCTCCCTGTCTGGAGACATCCCAAACCCACCAGGATGTGTTCCTGTGTCACCTGCTCCAGCTGACCCTGCCTTGGATGAACTCCAGAGGTCCCTTCCAACCCCAGCTACTCTGTGAGAACATCCTCTCTAAGTGGAGGGATGAGAGATACCAAAGCAGCCTCTTTCCTGCCCAGAATCCCGTTCTCTGCACTATCACACCTGAGGAAAACCCCTCATTTCCTCATCTCTGCCCCATCATTGGACCACTTTCAGGGGGGCAAAAGCTGCAACTTCTCTATCTCTCTGCCTTACGAAGCACTTTAAAGAGTGTTCTTACATATGTCAAATTTAAATCAACTGAGTGACACAGATTTACCTCTTAACACAGGTCTGGCCTAATTTACCACCCCCAATTTATTCCCACACAGGCCTGCCCTACAAGATGCCAGCTTTAGGGCTGTCTGGCTGCCCAGGGAGCAGGGCACAGGCTGGGGTGTGTCATACTTACAGCTTTGTACTTGATCAGGTAGTGTCTGATTGGGGAGCCACCATCATCCTGCTTGATGACGTTCACTTTGATGGAGTTCCCATCCTCTCCTATGTGCCCTTCCAGTTTGGGAGCGCTGGGTTCCCCTGAAACAAGGGGGGATTGAGGTTTATTTGTTAAAAAAAAAGGTAAAAAATCACCAGGCAAAAAGTACTCACGGAGATCAGAGGAATATTTCACTACACTTGGGGTACCAGAGTCATCCTGTACCCATTTTAGAGGCTCACTTCAGTGAGTGTGGGAAAACCAGAAGAGGATCCCACAGCACATCTCCCTCAGCCCTAGTGTCACCATCACAGTGGGTACAGGCTGGAGAGAACTAGTGCCCCTCACTCTTCTGTAATAGCCACTTTCAAAATTAAAAAAAAAAAAAAAAAAAAAAAAAAAAAAAAAAAAAAAAAAAAAAAAAAAAAAAAAAAAAAAAAAAAAAAAAAAAAAAAAAAAGCTGTGATTTCCCAATTTGCACCCCTGCCATCAGCAGAAAATGGAAAAGTCATTTGCTTCTGCAGGGCACATTGATTTACAACCATGTCCTTGCAGCCCACGGCTCCAAAACTGCCTTTTTTTTATTCAGTTCCTCTGTAAGGACAATTCCTCTGCTAACAAGCAAAAGAAATCCCCCTCTCCCCCCCTCTGTTTAAGCAGTTGTGTCTGAGGGGCTTGGGCAGTGTTTCTGTTTTTCCAGTGTTTCTGGGAGTGCTGGACAGCTCATTCCCAGCTGACAGCAGGAGGGTCACACACAGGGAATCCAGCACATCAGGCCCCTCCTGTGTTTTGTTGTGCCCCTTGAACCCAAACACCCTTCCTGAAGGTTTCCAGCCCCAGTTTGTGCACAGGTTTGCTGATGCTGAGCACACACCTGACTGTCCCAGCCCTGGTGTCACCTGCAGGGCCACCTGTGCTGGGGACAAGGGGTTCTGCTGAACATCCCCTGCCACACACCCCAGTGAGCTCAAAACCAGCTCACAAATGGTCCAGTTCTCAGGGCACCCCACAGGGAACCACACCAGAACTCTGCAACAGGGAGAGCTGCAACCCAAGAGCCTCAGGAGGAGCACATGAGAGCAAAACTGGATGCTGAAGTAACATCTGTGACTTTTCTTAAAGCTCAGCCTCTTGCCTGTTGAGAATAAAACTTTTTAAAAGATTTATTTCTTTTCAATACTACTAAGAGTGAAAGGAAATAATAAGGCAGTTGTACTAAGATCAACCCAAAAACCATCCTCAGTTCTAAATCTGCTCTGTCTGGATTTGTATTCAGCCCCTAATGGGAAGCACATGCATTTCTGACTGGCCAGAGAAAGGTTAATCTTCCAATATAATTCAAAAGTTGATCTTCATTAGTAATCTGAAACCCTTCCCTCTCCCCCCTTCCTGGCCAAAGAAAGGATTTGAGCACATTTTCCTTGGTGAAATATCAATGAGAGAACTGCAAGACCTGGCCTGACACAGCAATTTAGGATTAATTCCATTTTCTTGCACACTGTCACATGCTCCAACATCCCAGCTGCTCCAAGAAGGCAGTTACCATCCATGGATACCCAGATGTGACACACACACAACTGTCTTGCACAGCACAGCAACCTCTCTTCAAGCTGTACAGAGCCAACGCTCCCTTTTCCCAGGTTCTGGTTTGCTTTTCCAAATCCTTGCTCTGCCTCTGCCCCTGTTACAAGGCTCCCACATACAAGCTGGACGCTCCAGAGCTGGATTCCACCCTGGGACATATCAGATTAACCAAGCAATTGGTTTTTGTTTTTTGTTTTTTTTTCCCCTTTCCTCAAACCTGAAAGAAAAACAATCACCACAAAGTTACAGGTTTCGACTGCTGAGCTGATTTGAGTGGAAGGAGCTGCTGTGCAGCAACACTGGCTACTCACCAGTAATTAAACAAACCCAAATGTCTGGTTCTGTAGCTTGGCCACTGGTCTGGCTGCACACTGAGCCTCTGCTGACACATTCCTAAGCAATTCTCAACCTGCCCTGTCTGTGGGATGTGAGGAGTGGCTGGTTCTCTGACAGCTGGGCAGTGCAAGAGCAGCCTCTCCTCGGGGCTCTCTGCCATCCTCACCTCAGAGGGATAATTAGCAATGAGTAAAGAGAATTTGGAGTGATAAGGGGACACTATACTTACAGAGTCTGACCTTTTATCTAACACAGGATAGATCTTTTTTTTCCAGTGACTGAGCACCAAGACTAAGAGGAACATCCTTTGAAAAGATGCTCCTTCTTGATTTTAAATGTCAGAGATGCTGCTGTACTTTACACACAGCCATTCCCAGGATTAATTACCTTCTCTGCTGACCCTTTTCTTCACTTTGAGTTGCCTGATTTCTAGCTCCTGATTCCCCCCTTCCCCAAAATCTAAATTCACCTCTGCTCTGAGAAACATTGTGCCCAAAGAGGAGAACACTGACCACTCCTCAGGGCTGAAACCCAACAGGAGGCAAAGACACTTCAGTTTTCTCTCCACAATTACATGGCATTTAATTTATCTGAAGTAGGTGGATGTGATCCAGATACAACAGGGCTGTAAAATTAAAAATGGGTTAGTGTGTCAAACAAAGGAGGAAGAAGTTTAGTGGGAAAAGTTTAGTCCAGCAGAATCAGCAGCCCTACAATGAGTGAAAATGTCAGTAGCTGAAGAGAGAGAAGGTTGTCACCAGGTTAGAGAAGCAGCTCATGCTCACACACATGCATCCTCCCTACAGCACAGGGCTGAAAAGCAAAGAGCATTACAGGGGGTGTCTCATGCCTGGGGATCCCCCACTTACACCCAGCAGAAATCTGCCCCTTCCACCCTTCTCAGGGGCATTTTCCAGCCTTGGTGTTCCACAGAATGCAGGGTAACTCAGAAAGAATCTGATCAGCTGAACAGGAATCAAGGACTTTCCTGCTGGCTCCCACCCCTGGTGTGAGGGGAGCTGAGGACAGTGCTCTGGGACACTGCATTTCCAAATGGGTTTTTATTCACTCCTGCTAAGCCCTTAGCACCAATAATCTCCTGCTGCAGGGCAGCAGTAAATGGTTCCTGGTATCCTTGCACTGTTTAGTTTACATTCAGTGCTTCCCTGACCCAACAGCAGCCTGATACAGTTGGGTTTCAGAAGCTGGGTTTATTATTGCCTGGTTTTCAGAGGGTGCCACAAGCACCAGGAGTGCAGGAAAACTTCAGGTGGGGAGAGAGGACAATATGAAGAAATCAGCCCAAACTTCTCTCTGGTCCCAGGGCACTCAGTGTGTGCTGGACCCCAGAAGGGACAGCAGTGCAGGTGAGACACCTTTACTCACACCTCTCCTCTGCCTACCTGGGAAAGCAGCTCAAACTGGTTACCAGACACTTTAGGCTGAGCTTAAATCCTTGCCCAGCTGGCACCAAGGAGAGATCCTGCATCCTTGCCGTGCTTAGAGAGTTCTCACTGCTGGTGAGGGTAATTTGTGCCACACAGGAACAAGGAAGGAGCTGATTTCTGCAATCTTTGACCATCATGTAAACAGGACTAGATTGTGACCTGCAGAGTCACAGCTGGAAAGAGACGCCAGGGAAAGTCTCCACGACTGGGAAACACACTGAGGAAGAACAGGGCAGGAGGTTTCAGAATGCACACAAGAGAAGCAAAACACCAACAGTCAAAAAGAAGGAACAAAAAAAAAACATGCAAAAACGAGACAACCAAGTCTTCAACCCTCCTGGAGTCCAACCAGAGAGGGCAGAGACCTGGCAAGAGGGGTTTCCTCTGTGCATGCAGTCATGTGGGAGGGTTACTGGTGTTAGTTTTGTTTTCCTGGCAAACCCCAGCCTAAAGCCTTTCCTGGATTGTCCAGGACCATAAGGTGAGTTCAGAATTCACAGGCTGAGAAAAAGCCAATTGGTTTTCACAGTCCCTTGTTTAGCTGGGGCAGCAGAAGAGCCTCCCTCCCTCCTCCCCTTCAGGTTATGCAGAGCATCAAGTGAAGTTGTAAAGATCCCAAAGCTGCAGAAACTGTTCTCACTGCCACACACTTCACCTGGAGACTGAGTCCATCTCCAAAAGCTGCAGGGGTCAGTCATTTGCTTCTTGATTTCACGGAGACCAGCAGCTACCGGGACATGAGTTTAGGTTAAATCCTTGCCAGGCTCCCAGACACTCCAGGGGTGGAGCAGCAAGGAAGGTGCAACAGCACCTCTGACGGAAACTGTGTGAGGTGGAGCTCCCACCATGAACTTGTGTGTGCTGTTTTATAGTGTAAATACTATATATGGCATGATAAATATACATTATAGTGTATATATGCAGTATTTTATAGCACAGCTCCCATTCCAGCTGTGCTAAAGTTTTACTCACAATACTCTTAAATCTCAAAGCGATATGAATTCCCAATAACTGGATCTCAGAAAGGGGAGAATTTAGGATTCTTTTTGGAAGGCTACTGAACATGTACAGTGTGAATTGAGTGTATACAGATGTTTATAGATACCTATATAAATGTGTGCTGTACGGGGTCAAAATGCTGCCAAAGCCACAGGAGAGGTGGTGTTGCTGCGATCCCCCATCAAACACCGCTCTGTGGTCGGTACCCTGAGGGGCAGGGGGGTTCTGGCCACAGTTGTTCACTGCAGAGTGTTCCAGACTGTCCTGGGACAGCTCCCTGCTGGCCCCAGAGTGAAGGAGCAAATGACTGAGCCCGTGGCATCCTTGCCCTGCTGGTTGTGTTTGCCCAGCTCAGTGGAGGACACGGGGTTAGTGCAGAAGTTGAGTCCTTCACATGCAGACAAGTGATGAGCAACTTCTCCAGAGGGGCTCCAGTGGGAGGATCTGTGGAGTGACGGAATTTGGAGCTCCCTGGCCAGCGACCAGAGGGGAATCCTCACCCCAAAATCTAGGCAACCAATCAGAACAAAGTGTTTTACCTTCTGTTTCACCAGCGAGGACGACATCAGCAGCACCATGCAAGCCACATGACAAAGTCACATGATACGCACGCACATGATTTGGTTGAAAGGAAAGTGGAGGAGGTCACATGGAAAATACAAAAAAATTAAAAAACTGATGTAAACAATGGGCAAGGGAAAAAAATCAACAACAGAATTACAGATTAAATAAAATAGGAGCAAAATCAAATTAGCCAGTATATATCAGAAACACCGGGGGAGAGACAGTCAAACCGCCTGGAAAATAAGAATATTAAACCACAGAAAGCACTGGGTTATGACCTGGGTTAGGCACAGCTGCGTCACTGCTTAGTGATACCACACCAAAGAACAAAAGGAGCAAAAATTATTGCAGAGTGTGTGCCAGAAATGCTGGAGGAGTCCACAAGACTGTTGGAAAGAAAAAGGGAATATTGTTAATATTGTCCTCCCCTCTGCAGAACACGTGTCTTCCTAAATAACAACAACTGCAAGAGAGAAAAACCTGCTGGCTGTGAACGTTTCCAAGGCCAGAGCTTCCCACCAAGGAGCTGCAACTGGAATTTGGTCAGTGAGGGTCTGCACTGGGTGCACCTACAGTGGGTTCCACTGAGGGCTCTGGGTGTGCAGGGGGGTTTCTGTCACTGAGGACAGGGATGAAGTGCTCTGCTCTGGAAATTAATTACCAAGCTGGCCCCAGGGAGACAAGCAAGTGCTGGAAAAGATGAAGAAACGTGCAGTGGGTGACAGGGGAATGGCACAACATGAGGTGTCACAGCGGAGCACACAGCAAGTCCATGCTCCACTTCCCTTCCTAAATTACTCTCTCCTTTATAACTTGCATTTTTCATGCTCATCCCTCTGTCTCATCTTAATGAGGCGACTTCACAGTGCTCTGGTACTTTCCTGTTAATTTGATGTATAGAGAATTAAACCCTTAATCTTTTGGGCGCTTGTTCTCTGACAAGATTAAGGACACACCATTAGCAGGGAAAAAACTGATGGTACAAAATGTAAAATCCATTTGTTACAACTAAGCTCTCAATCCATTCTCTCCAGTTACAAACACAGCCTCACACAACTCTAGGCAGGTGCATTGTGAAGGAGGGAAGTTTAGTGGGCCTGGAAAGGCAAGGAGTGTCTTCTGGTCATGAGGAAACACGAGATTTCAAAACAGGTAAGAGAGGCTGCCTGTCAGATCAAGTCCTCAGGAGAGAGGGCTTTAGTTAAAGATGAAGGGCAAAATTAGCAGCACAAAATATCACACATGTGTCTCGCTCAGTGTCCTCCACCTCCCTCATCCTGCAAGTTGAACCTCTTGGCCAGTATCTACTAAATAAGACAGAAGTTCCTACAGAATCTGGAAAACCAGGAGATGGATAGAAGAGATGTTCATGTGAGTACCTCATCTGAAAAATAACCCACTTCTTAAGTGCAAGCCACACCAGATTCCCCAGTGGGGAGAGCTGCAAGAAAAACTTCATTACTGCCACTGGTACAGAACTCAGAGGAGTAATTCCAAGGAGATGCATGTTCCTTAACCTCTTAACAGGGCTCGAGACATCTCCCATATGCTACTGATCACATCAAGTCAAAAACTCACTAAAGCCAGTGAAGAAACTCTTCAGCTTCATTAGACTTCAATTCCTGGCTTGGTGATGCCACCCAGCAGCTCTCACTTCCTAATTGCTCTTGGTTTCACTCACTGAGCCACCGAGGGCAGGGCAGGGTAAAACCCCAGATCATTCAGCAGCAGCAGCAGTAATTAAATGATGCAAAGTTACAAGAGCATCAGCCCTGTGCCAGTGCTCTTTTTCTGCTGTTGAATATCACATTTTGCTGTGCTGCAGAACAGCCCAGCATACAAATGTGGCTGCTCTTTGCACAGACTGATTCTACACACAAATTATAGTGAGAGGGCAGGTTTGCTTCTGGTCAGGAGGAAAAGCTGAACTTCCAACGTGGGGGAAAATGGAAACTTCTGTCCTTAAAGACCCCACACCCCTCCTCCTCCTCCACACACAACCCCCAAACCCAAAACAAGGGTGGAAAATGTGTATCACAAATTAGCTCTCAGTCTCTCTTCTGGGTAGAGATTCTTTTTGAGGAACAAAACGTTCTGCAAAACATTAACCCATCATTTGCCCTCCCAGGGAAGCCCACACATGAACAGCCACAGCAGAGTCTCTGCCTCCTGGGGAATAAAGGATTATTACAGACCCTGCCCTTTGCCCTCTCCTCCCCATCCTCCAGGTCTGAGGAGAATTAAAAGGGTTCATCAGCAATTCAGAACCCCCAACACTCCAGTGCATCAGGAGCTGGGGCTTGGCACTCTGGACAAACAGAATATCCTGCAGGAAGGAAAGGAACTCCTTGGCTGTGGTCACTGGCAGATAAAGGACATGGGTTAGACCACAGAATGTGCCAGTCATAAATGTAGCAATAATTATGGGGGGGTTAATTCCTTTTACTGGCCATCCTATCCATCCCAACCCCCAGAACAATCACACACTTCATGCTTTTAGTATTTTCCACTTGGAACCCAGCTTGGAGATCACATCCACAGAAACACAGACACTGGGTTACTGCACAGCAGAAGAGGAGCATTTGGCCTTGCAGAAATGATCAGCTGCTCAAAGCACACGTATGCATCACAAAAAAACCCGGCTCTTCCTTAAGGGGTTTTTAATTCCTCCCGTGATTTTGTTGCAAGTATTTGCTTGGCTTTTCTGTGGGCACGTGACTGACTGCAAATCTCCTCCAAGCAGGGATTAAAGTCAACCCATGTGACACATCCACTCAGTCTCAGGCAGGTGTGGTGTCCCTGGGCCCTGAACAGGCCAGAACAGACATTCCAAAATGGTTATTTTGGGTACAAAGCAGCTCATGCAACCTTTTCAGCTGGTTTTCCTTGGACTACCCAGATCCAGCAGGGAAGCACCTCCTTCCCTGACCCAGCCTCAGCAGGAACGGCTGCCAAAGAACCAGGGATGGGCAAGAACTGAGGGAATCTGAATCCTGCCCCACCTCAGATATGGGCAGGTGGCAAGATGAGGCAAAGCTCCCTCTCTCCTGTAAGATATTCTACCTCCTCATTTGCCTCTTCTTTCAGCATCCAACAGCCTTACTTCTGATATCAACTGTGCCTCCCTGGATTCGGAGAAAACAGAGCAAGGCAGGGCAGCAAGAAGATCATTGAGGAAAATACTCCTTCTGGAAATGATAAATTGTATTTCTTTGCCCCCACTTCTCTCCCTCTCTGTGTCCCTTCTAAATCTCCCATTTTTTGGCACATGCTGGGAGCGATGACGGGAGGAGGAGGCAGTGGCACCATGCTGGGATCTCACCGTGCTCACACCACACACTGCTGGGTAACAGGCACCAGGGGGATGCAATACAGCACTTTAGTGCCCTCCACCAAGGGCTGCAGCACCACAAACAGCACTCCAGGGCAAAGCCAGCAGCTCCCAGCTACTCACTCGGTGGCTCTGGGCTTTGGGATTCAGCAGGAGTTGCTATGGAAACACGGATGGATGGACAGGACACGTCAAGGTGAAACAGCCGTGGAAAGAGAGGGGAAGGGGCAGGGGGGACAGAGAGGAGAGAGAGGAGGTTTAATGAGGGTGAGAATGACCTGAGTCCTTATGGCAGGGCGTGCTACCTAAAGAGGCTGCAAAGATCGGGTCCTGCTGCCGCTTTCCAGCCCCCCTCCCAGGGAAAGGACTTCACTGTTCCTCCCCACCTCCATGCACCACGTCCAGGGAACATGCAGAGAGCAGGAAAAAGGACTAAGAGCCCTAAAAGGGGGAACACCTCGGGAAATGAGTGAGTTCTGAGAGAAGCTGCCAGTCTGCAGAGCACTGCACTGCCCAGGCTGCACCAGGAAATACAGGGATTGCCAGGACAGAGGGGACAAGGAATGTCCTTGCTTCCCAAAGCCCTGGGAAGAACACAGCTGGAGAGACAAGAGTTGGGAGAGGGTTTCTCTACTATTGCACATAAAATATTTTTCTTTTAAAGAGTCATCACTGTCCTGTCTCCAAGAGCCCAAAGAACCACAGAGAGGGGTAAATCAGAGGCCTTGAGAGGCTGGAGAGCAGCCCCATGGAGAGAGACCTGGGGAGGGGGGAAATAGGAGAAAATCAGGAAGAAACACCCAGAGGTGTTGGCAAAACACCCAGGGATGATGTTAGGCAGATTGCACCACAGCCAGTGAGAAGATCATGCAGAGCAAAGGGGACCCAAGCCAGCCCCTTCTGCCATACTCACTCTCTGCTAAACGGGAGGTGGGTGCAGCAGCACTGGCTAAAGGAAGAGAAAGGCAGGTGAGGAGGGGACGGGATTCCTGTCAAATACTGCCCAAAGGGAGAAAATGAAGGGATTTGGAATTTGGGGGCTACTCTAGTGTTGATTTGTTGGGTTGGGGTTTTGCACATGAGGATGTTTTGGTTTCAAACCCAGGCAGAGGAGAACCCCGTGCTCCCAGGGATCGTGGCTGGGAACGTGCCTGGAAGAGCAGAATGGAATTTGCAAGTGAAAAATATGGTTTAGCCCACCAAGAAGGAAGAGGAGCTGAGCTGGGGGCTATGGACTGACTGGCAGCCCACTGCCACATTAAAAACCACCAAGAGACTCCACAACAAATGGGATTTAATGCTCCTCAAAGCCACATACCTGTCCCCAAGTGATGGACATGAGGCTTGGCAGGCAGATCTGATGGTGTGGCTGAAACAAAGCTTTTAATGGTCTTTTTCCTCTCTTCTTAATTGGGTTTTTTCCCCCCTTTTCCTGCAGTAGTGATGTGCACCCCCCAGCCCTTATCTCCCCTTGGTACCGCTGATATTTCCAGCCCAGGAGGGCCCCCAATCCCTGGGAGCTGTAACACTATCCATGATTCCCTTCAGAGAAGGGATGTAATTACTTCTGCTGGAATTAACAGGCTCCACACAATTCCAGGTCCCAGACTGCACATATGCTGTGGAAATGTCTCCCAGGTGACTCTCTAACTGCTGCAATTTGCAATGGTCTGTCCATCTGTCCCTTCGTTCACCCACCCTGACTATCAATCCATCCACCCTCTCACTGCTCCACTATGTCCAAGCTTTTGTATAATACAACCCTAAAGGGAAAACAGCACAGCCATGATTTAAACACTGGAATTTGGCTTAAAAATAAAAATGATTGCCTGTTTGTTTTGTTTTTTTTTTACTTCAGCTTCAGAAATCTCAAAGGATGGGACAGCAGCTTCCCCAAGCTTGTACATGTCATCTTGGGAATAACAGCAGTCCACCACAAGGACACATTAATAAAGAGAATAATGGTCACTGAGATAAACTTCAGCTCCATTGATTAGCTCTGATTGGAACAGGACAAAGCTATGGAGCACCCCAGGTTTCACTGACAATTAAACACATCCATCACATTTCTGGCTCTCTTGGCATTGGGAAGGAGGAAACATGCCTTTTTTTTTATCATTTAGTATGAGGTTTATTTAAGTGCAAAATCTACACAAGTGCTGGAAGACTGTCCAAAGACTACTCATGGTAAAAATTACTAGGGAGAAGAGGTAAAAAATGTGAATTTTTTTCTCTTTAAGTTTTTGCTTTCAAAATTGTGAAGCTATTCAAAATTCAGAAATTTTTGGTTGCCTCTTAATTGGTATAAAACAGATCTACAATTTAGCTAAAACTTCTTCCTCTTTGGTTTCCATGAATTATCTGTATTTTATTAAAATTTAATCATTTTTAATGGATTCATAAATATGAAGCCTTCCACTACTCCACTCTGTAGTCTACACACTATCTATTATTATTATTAGACAATCACTATGTTAAATATTTCAGTTGCATGCTTTGCACTAAAGACAAATATGTTAAGCCCTGATTCTGTTCTAAAAAAGAGCAGCATCACCCAGAGCAGGGTGACTATTCTAGAGTCAGTCTTGTTAAGGAAATGGACACTACCAGTTACTCCATTTCTAAAGACCCTGAGAGGAAAAAGGCACTAAATTAAAAGCTAATGTTCTGTGTGTTAGAGGAACACTCTAGACACAAAAAAAAAGAGAGTGAGAGAAATGCAGAGAGCACTTACGTGGGTGAGGGATGCCTGCAGTTTATCCATGGATGGAACACAGACAAAAAAAAAATAAAAAGACAGAGATAGACAAACACAAAAAAAAATTGTAGAAGATGTGAGAAGAGGAGATAAGAGAACGTGGAGCTGGAAAACCCAAACACCACACGTGTCCTGCCCCACACTGCTCCGCTCGGCAGCTCCGGGGAGGCAGGAGGTGACAGACAAAAACCAGGACCATGCACAGCTCAGGGGCCTCCAAACATGCATCTGATGGGCTGGGAACTGCTCTGAGTTCAGAGGGGTTTCAGAAGAGCTGCAGAACGGGGACAGAGGTCTGGGTGTGATGGTGGGAAGAAGAACAGGCTGCAGATCTGGATGCAGGGGAATGGGAAAGAAAAACCACAGAACCACCAAGTAACCCCTGCCTGTTTTTGTCACATCTCCCCAGCCCACTCTACTCCTTTTCTTTCCCTTTCTCTCCTTCCCATCTTGAATAACTCTGATTTTGAATTCCTGCCACTGTCATCCTTGGCTGGAACAGGAGGGACAGTGCTGGGCCACATTCTGTGCCTGGCCTGGAAGATGACCCAGTACAGCAACAGAGAGGCTGTGGAATCCCCTCATGGATGTGCAGAGAAGAGACCATCCCTCCTCCCTCCCCAGCTCATGGCCTGGATGTGGTGAACACGTGAACTTCTGATTTGCAAAGGAAACCTGCCCCGTGACAGAGCCATCACACTCTCCAGGACCAGCACCCTCCTCAGCTGCTTTTCCTTATTTACATCCCCCCTTACACAGTCCCTTCTCTGGCAACACCGAGTCTACCCTGGCAGCCCAGGGCACCAACCAGTGCAGGTAAAACACCTCCTCTGCCTCCTCCCTTCCAAGGGGATTTTTAATTAGCCACCAAACCCACCACAGTCCAAACCCAGCACGAGAACAAAGGGTTCAGCCGGGTCTGCGAGAGAAGGAGGTGTCATCCCATGCATGGCAGAGATTCCCTGGACAGGCTGAGGGCAAGGTGAGCAGAGGGGCAGGGGGAGGGCTGGGCTGCACTTACGAACTGGCTGTGTCTTGAACTCGGAGGGCAGGCTGATCTCCCCCACGCCTTTGCCGTTGACTGCAGACAGCCTCACAGAGTAGGTGGTCTCAGGCTTCAGGCCAGTGATGGTGATGGTGCCCTCCTCGTTGGCTGGGGCAGAAACAAGGCAAGGAAAGCAAAGAAAAAAAGCTCAGGGGTCATGGTGATAGGAAGAAAGAAATAAGCTCTGTTTTTCCTGCACAGACACGAGGGAGGAACGAGAGAAATAAACCTGGCCCTGTGTGATCCCATCACTCCAGAGGGGACCTAACAGAAGAATTTCAGTTCCAGACAGGATTGGTGGCGGAAGATTCAGCTCTGGAATAGAACCCTCCTTTCCACAGTCACAAAATCGCAATATTCTGAGTTGGGAGGGACCCACAAGGATCATCATCAAGTCCAACTCTAAAGTGAATGGCCCATACAGGGATGGAACCACGACCTTATTAGCACCAGCCTTTAACCAACTGTGACAATCTCTGTTCCTCCCAAACCAGAGTTAGTTTGGTTTATTTGATTTGCACATCCATTTTAAGCAGCGTGCAGGGCCACAGATTTAACAAGACAGGGTGTAACAGGAGGTAGCTTTGCTGCTGGAAGAGGAGGGTTTATTTTCCAAGGGTAACTGAGGGGCTTGAAAAGCCTTCTGTGGGAAGCACACAGACACTCCCCCAATCACCAAATGAACACTCATCTGATCCCAAGCACAGGGATTATTCAGGGAGGATGGTGTGAAGCAGGAAGGGCTGCAGAGCTGACCACCCCCTCTGCACCCTGTCACACTCGTGCAGCCTTCAGCACACTCCCTTCCATGGGAAAATACAACATGTCACTGCACAGCAGACGTCTAAGAACTCTTTTTGGCCCTTACAACTGCAGGAGGTGAAACTGCAAAGCTGTGGAACCCTCCACTCTGGCTGTTCCCTAAAGGAAAGTCGGTCTGGTGAGGTTCAGGTGGGGGAGGTACCACCTTGTTGTGGATTCCTACCTTCTTTTGCATCATACAACCTGGAATGCCACTCTCCCTCGCCCAGGGCCCTCCACTCTGCCTTGTACTTGAGGATGGGAACCCCACCATTGGCTTCAGGCTCATCAAACTCCACCTGGGCAGTGCTGGAATAGGGCTCCACTCTGTCGATGGACGGGGAGGACGGAGTGTCTGTGTGAGAAGGGAAGAGAACCAGAGACACAGGAGGGATCAGGGGACAAGCTCCAGTGGCAAAGAGAGCAGCAAACCGGGGACATCAGTGACACCCTTGTCATGGCTTCCCAAAGGAGAGGAGGAGGTTGGGCCTGAGGTTCCCTTTGGAGCAGCTTTGAAGGGGGTTAATGCCCCAGCCACATTCCCTGCTCCCCCTGCCTGGGATGCTCACCTGCCTGCACCAGGATGAACTCGGAGGACTCCTGCCCGATGCGGTTCACGGCAGTGCAGTTGTAGTTCCCAAAGTCATTCTCCGAGTCTGGGGTCACCTGTGGGAGGGATGAAGGCTCATGCTCGGATCAGAACCCCCTTCTCCCTCTGTTAAAGCACTCGTTCCCCTGGAGGGACCCTACAGCAAAGTGCAGTGTTCCCACTCCCAGGGCTGGCCACAGGGGACAACTGCAGTGGGCAAAAATGCGAGGCAAAGAGGAGGTGGTGCCTTGTGCTGCCCGATTTTCTCAGCACTGGTGTGCCAGAAGCATCACCCCAGCTTCATTTCTACCAACAGGGTGCCCTTGCAAAAGACTTAACTCCTTCAGCACCAGGAACACCAATTATTTGAGCCTCCCTGGCTGCACGTGCCTTCTCCCCTCCTGGCCTTCCCTCACCTCCAGGTAACTTGCTGAGGGAGTGTTGTAGATCTTGATGTTGCTGTAGTTGGAGCTGGGGAGCAGCTGCCCATCCCGGAACCAGGAGATGACAGCACTGGGGTAGGCAAACACCTCGCAGGTGATGTTCACTTGGTTTCCTTCCCAGGTGTACACAGCCACGGGGCCCTGGAGCTTGGGGGCATCTGAAAGACAGACATTTGTGAAGGCTTTCTGAGCCAGTCATCTCCCAAAGCAGCCCAGGCAGCCTCACTCGAAGGATCCCTTGGCTGGGGTCCACTTTGATGCGGGAAAGGGAATCTCATGTCGGAAATGAGAGCTGTCCTCTCATCTGGGGGGATGGGGAGTGTCTTCTGCTGAAGGACAAAAGGAGGAGACCTACTCAATGCCAAAGCTGCTCCTGCTCAGCGAGGGAGGAGCAGAAAGCATGATGCAACTAGGAAATCATGCCAGGAAGCTTTTCCAGGGAAGAACTCTGCTGCACCCAACACAGGGGACTGCAGCAGATAAATCTGCTCAGCTGCTTCCCACACCCTCATCCCCACCATCGGGCACGTCCCGAGCCGAGGGCGCCTCGGTCTCACCACAGGGAACGGGAATCCAAACACTGCCCCCCCACTAACACCCCCATGCCCAGCCCACCCTGCAGCCCTTACACTGCACTTCCAGGTACATGGCCTGGGAGTCCTGGCCGATGGTGTTGCTGGCAGTGCACACGTACTCCCCGGCGTCCGTGTACTGGATCTCCTTGAGCGTCAGCGACGACACCCGCGCGTGGCTGCGGACGATGATCCGCCCGTCCAGGGTCTGCCAGGGAGGGAAAACTCCGTCAGAGCCCGAGCCCCCAGCCTGGGCGGCACTCTAAAGGGATGGGGATGAGGGCAGGTCTACCTCACACCAACCCTGCAGGGCTCAGTGCTTGGGAAGGGGAGGCACTGCCAAAAGCAACAAGAAGGTTCCTGGTCACACAGGGCCAGCTGCAGTGACTCAGAGCACTCAGGAGAAGGGGGGAAAAATGAGATGAAAGACCAAAGTATCAGATGCTACTATGAAGATCTGAGGGCAACCAGACAAAGTCAGGCTTCTCCCCAGAATGAGCACTGCAGAGATCCGGCTCTGGTTAAAAGTTTTTGTCAGCATAAAGGAAGAGAATAAAGGAAACCTCCCAGATGGCTACTGTGCTTCCCCTCAGAGAATTCAGCCCTTCCTGCTCTCTCACCAGCACTGGATTTATTTCAGTGTCCTTGCAATGGCATTAATAAGAACAGATCCAGAGTTCAGGGGAGAATCGTGCAAAAAGCAAGCTCAGAACTTCCACCTGAACATGGCACGAGAACAGAGAAGAGTGCAGAGAGGCACAGGAAGAGAGATGTGGGCGAGAAAACTACCAGACCCTTCTAGAGACAGCCCTGCTTCAAGGCCTTGTGGTGCTTCAAGAAAATTCTAGCTTGGAAGCTTTAAAGCTTTAAAGTACCAACTCTCCTCATCCAATTTCCAAAGTGGCCCAAGGGAATAAATGGGGTCCCATCCTGGCTGTGCCTGCTGCTGCAGCCTCCACTCCTACTGCAATTCATGCTCCAAGAGCATCTGCTTTCTTGGAAGGTACAGGACAAGCACTGAGATGATGATTAAAAAAGCCCTGAGGATTTTAAACAGCCCAGTGCACTGAGCTGGAGCACAAAGCACATCTCTGGTGTCTCGGGTGTTCGGAGCCCCTGGGCCTGAAGCCTCTTTGTGTGCTGAGCTCGTGGTCTCTGGTAACGTTTCTACAAGCAAATGTGATTTGTTACCTCTGATAGTTCTAAGATCAGTTCATCTGAGCCAGTCCAATTTCACGTGCACCAAACCAGGATCCCTTGATGACACAAACCCAATTATATGTGGCTTTTTTTTTTTCTTTATTCTACCCTGCACACAGGTCTCCTGCAATCCCTGACCAGTGCCACAGACTCCATCCTTCTGACTTGTGATTTGACTCCAAAACCCAGCTCACTTCTGAAACCAAAACACTGCAAAAGGTCATTTTACATCCAAGTGCCCAGCTGCCTTTTCCCCTCTTCCTCAAGGTCTAATGCAAACACAGTGCCAGGCAGTCCCTGGGCAAGGCACAACTTCACAAGGAATGCAACTGGGTCTGAAGATGAAGCTCTGCCTCTTAAATCAAAAGAAACAAGAAAAGAAAAAGAGAGATTGGGAAAAATACCCTAAAGAAGAGAAAAATATCTACCCAAGAAAGCACACAACCAGTTCTCTTTTATTCCTGTTTCAGACATCAGATGCCAACAACTCCTGGCTGTTGGAGACAGGGCAGGTAGAACTTGTGAGCCAGACATGGACACATGTAATCCTTTACCTTGTCTCCCTGATTTCAAGGATTTTGGATCACAAAATGCTTCCTTCTAGTGGGGAGAGACCCTCAGGGACACAGGCAGGAACTGCTACCCCAGAGTAGGGTGTGATGGTCTCTACAGTGCCAGTTACTGCCCAGATCCCAATATTCCAGTGCCAAAGGGGAACAGGAGAGGCAAATAAAATGCTTGTATCCCCCTTCCCTTCCACCTGCTGCAGTTTTCAGTCCTTTCACAAACAAGTATCCCTGACTAAATTCCACACAGTCCTACCTTCTCCTCCTCCACAGAACCCCTGGAAATCCTGCCCACAGGTACAAAATCCAGGGAAGGGGGATGAGGGGTCTCTCCTGGCTCTGTGCTTGCACTGCCCTAACCCAGACCCAGCTGCACCCCTCAATATTTGACTCCCAGTGGGCTGTGGTGTCACTGGGGCTGTGCTGCTGTGAGGGACTCCCTCACCTTCCCTTCCTCACCCTTGATGCCAAGTGCTCCCTGCACTTCCCCAGCCTGGAATTCCTGCTGCTGGAACACACTGCCAGAATTTAATGGCAATTTAAAGGCAATTTTAAGGATATATCCTGCACGAGCTGCAGTGATAAATCTTCAACATTCTCACCAAACCCCACACCTGGATGTTTCAAGACACAGAGGCAGCAAAGCTTATTAGTGTTAGTGCTCTTATTAATCAAAAGCTGGAGAGAGAGAGAGAGAGCCCAGAGAAAACACTGGGGGACAGAGACAACTGTCACAGGAATTAACGTGAGTCCTGAAGAGATGCAACTACTCAGATTCCAAATTCTTCAATGCAAACTGGCCTGAATATCTGGAGCCTTCACTTGCCACGAGACATCTGTTCCAACAGATTACTCTGGAGGAAGAACAGGCAGGGTCTTCTCAAGCCCCACATGAAACATGGGTGGGTGGTGTTTAAATTACAGGTTTAGGTCACACCCAGTCTCTGCAGTTTAAGATGGCTTAAAAGTAGTTTTAAAAAAAATCAGGGTACCTCCACAAAGTTGATCCTAAAAATACAAATATGAGCCCCCCCCCCCCCCAAGGTCTGATAGTTAATTTTTTTCTCTACCTGACCCCTATTGTTTGCTTGGAAACAAACTTTCTGGTCCATTTTGAAGCAAGTGTTACAAATCAGGTGCACATAAAGGTAGGTTATTCTCATTATTATTATTATTATTATATTTTTACAGCACAGCACTGAATGTGAAAATAAAAGCAACAAACCCCACTTGCACCAACCCCAGTGACTGCATTATCCTACCCCCTCACTGCCCCTTGCAAATCAACCACAAATAACAATTGAGCGATTTGGAGCATTTTCTGGAGAAATACACCTCCTGCAAGCTTTATCTGCATTGATTTGGAAATGGAACATGATGCAGTTGTCCTTTAAAGAGAAGATCAAGCTTTAGGAGTAACCATGAGCAAATAGGTGAGTTGGCTGGAGCAGAGAATTGTCTTGGGGGGAAAAAATCCTTCCCCAGAGCATGTTGTTGGTAATCTTCAATCTCTAAGAGAGGCACAATTCCCACTGGCAGCAGGGGGAGAGCAGGATCTGTCAGATTTTACCTCTGCTTTTACTTTTAATTGCCTTTTTTTTTTTTTTTCCTTTTGAAGTGACAGGGTTACTCACTCCCAACACAGCCAGTTTGCTCATCTGAAAACGCAGCACTACATATGCCAAGCAACTTCTAACTCTAGAAGCTCTTTCTCTCACGTGCTGGTGTTTAACTCGCTCGGATTAATGCTCGTTTAGTGGGCGTGGTTACTGGACTAGAGGTTTGTTAATCTGTAAAATGCTTAAAGAGAAACCAAAACCAAAAAAAAAAAAAAAAAAAACACAAAAAGAACACCTAAGAAGTTTGCTAAAGGTCTGGTAATCTTATACCTCTTGTTTCTCGGGCCGGGTCCACGAAGCCTGGAGAGGACAGATATAGAACACAACAACAACAACAACAACAGAAAAAAAGCAGTAAGAGTTTATCAAAGGTTGCTTTCAGGCATCAGTGTTTGCAGCACATTGTGCTCTGTGCACATGCAGGCTCCAAGGTGCACATCTCTCCTGTGTGGGGGGTGATCACACCTCGCATTTATTTCCCACCAGAGCCTCAGCCGAGGGTGGCGTTCAGAATTCCACATCCTACAGACTGGCCCTGGGGGTGCCAACCAGAGGCCACTGGCACCCCAAACTGCTCCTGTTGGCACACACCCCCTGCCTCGTTTCCCTTGCCACGTCTCAGCCTCTCCACACACCTGTGCCAGGTGCTGGGCAGGTGCCTCTGCTCACCTGGGCCACTCAGCTGCACAGGGGAGTCCCACAACTGGTTTCCTCACCCTGGTTTGTTTGCCACCCACACACACCGATGAATTGACGCTCATGAATGTGCTCATGCGCTTGGAGCTGTATTTCCATGCATTCTGTGCCAGGAGGAGGAGACCTCGAGCTGCAGAGCACTGGGACAACCCAGTGGGACACCCTGCACAAGGCACAGCAGGACCTGGTGCCCCCAGCTGATCGCACCCAGCCCTTCCTGGGCTTGGGTCAACCCCCCAGCAGTGAAACATGCACAAACCTTACATTAAAACAGAGATTTCAAGCAGATATTTCCCATTCAGAGAAAGCCACCAGCAGCGTGGACCATGTTCACCGTGGTTCAGAAAGACCAGAGTTGCTGGGTTCCATTTTCCCCTCCCCTATAATTTACATTTCAAATATCTTCTGGACTCTGTATCAATCATAACTTGATCCACTGGAGTTCAGGAGCCCAAAATCACCTGCCAATGTCACAGCCACGATGGCACCACTGGGTGTGAGGCACAAGTGTGGATGTCACAGCGCACACACGAGTGACAGGGATGGAGATGGAGGCTCAGGAGATGAGACTGAAAAACACAGCATTGTCTCCACAGGGCTTCTAGTGAACATTGTGAGACTTAAATATTAACAGATGGGACAGACAGCCTCGTCCTACAATGTCTTGGATGAAAGCAAAGCATTTGCTTGTGACTAGAAGCCTGAGGTGAAGCTCCCCAGCACCTGCACAGGGTAGGACACTCCCAAAACCTGTGTAAATATATCCTGTTGTGCACAAGGTCCTTGAAAGCTGAATAGGCAGGCTGATAACCCAGAACAATCCCTTCTTGCTGTCCTAGCCACTCTGTGAGTCCCCTTCCAGTCCTGTTCCCTGGGTTCCTACAGTGTCAGCACAGGGGGATTCTTTTGATCCTCTGGTGTTCAGTACCTGCCAACCTAAAGGGACATGAAGAAGGAAAAAAGCCTGTTCCCACAGCCCAGAGTTGGCTGTTCCTCTGCAGTGGCTCTCAGGGACGTGGGGAAAGAGGCAGAAGCAAATTCTCCAGTCTGGAGAGTTCCAGACTGGCAGTCCCTCACCAAGACAGACACACAAGCTGTACTCAGCACCATGCAGGGAATGAGGGGGGGAATTAAGAGCCTCCTGCATCTCCCCTTCCCTCTGGAAGCAAGTTGTTAAATGAGAATCCTCATTACAAAGCAGTTCCTGGGAAGTGCCAATGTAATTGGCTCCCTGGATCATTAAATCCACAGACAGTCCCATGAACATCTCCTGAGATGCAAAGCACAACACAAATTCGAGGCAGGGAGTTGTATTCAAGGTATATTGCCCACTTAGGAGAAAAAAAAAAACCAAATCCAATCAGGAAATGAAGTTTCCATTAAGTTAAATTTGAGATGTTAAGTGTGCTGCATCCCATCTCGGAGCTCTTGGCTGAAGGTGTTGCAGCAATGCTCACTTGCATCATCAGAGTATCTGACTCTCCTCTAGCTCACTCAATTTTCCTTTTAGGGTTTATTTTTTTTTAATCACTTCACTGGTAATTTGACCTGGTGTGAGCTGTGCAAGGGAATGAGATCCTGAACTGCACACACACCTCCTGTGTCTGCACAAAATCCTCCCCTGCTCCCCTCCCATGCCCACACACTGAGCTGCCCTGCTGGGTAAGAAACCCAGGACTGGCTCCACAACTGCTCCCTGGAGTGTGTGCACAGCCAGGGACTGTGTCAGCCAAAAATCTGACAGCCTGCTCTACAACTGTAAAACTTGTTGCACCACTGACAGCACACCAAGACTTTCTTCCTGAGTCACAGCCAGTTTTGTGCCAGAGCAGGGAGAGAAACGTGGCTCTTCCAGGGGCTGAAAAGCACAGGAGGAGAGGAGGGAGCTGCTCAGCTTTCCCCTGGGCTCACCCACAGCTCTGCTGCCTGCAGGGGCACAGCAGCAGGCACTGAGGGGCAGAGGAAGCCAAACCACTCCCAACCATCCCTGCTGGCCCCAGGCCCGTGCCCTGCAGCAGTGACACAGGAACCCCACGCTGGCAAGGCAAACATTTCTCCCTAGCAGCATGATCCCACCTTCACAACCAAAGCAAGCCACAGGTGAGCTAATGCTTCATTTATTTTATCATTATTATTAGTTTCTTTGCACTCTCTGCAGAGCAGGAGGCTGCAAGCTGCCAGCTTAGATTGTCCCAGGGGTGGTGCCATGCTGGGCAGGCACAGCCACACGTCACTGTCCCTGGTTTTGGACAAAGACTAAAAGGGGAAAAACCCTCTAAGCCAGAGAGGGTGGTTTTCTTGCTTATCTGGAGATTTGGGAAGGTTTCTTTCTGAAGTACAGAATGTTAATGGGAGTTAAGGCACCTCTAAAAATCTAGACTGAAGTATGATCACAAGAGCAAACAACATGAAGCAAGACAGAAGCATCCAAAGCACCTGAAGAATATTCAGAAGTAGGGCTTCATAACTAAAAATAGTGTTGTCTGTGCTGCATCAAAGAGCATCCATTTCCCTGTGCTGTCCCAGAGACAGCAAGGGCAGAGTAACCTGAATATAGGAATTTGGCTGTACATTTAGCAGAATGTTAATCAGAGCTGTTCTGACCTGAGGGTTTTCTGGGTGTTTGCACCATTCACCTAAACCTCCAGCACAAGAGAGAGAAGGGGAAAAGCGTAAGACAAACCCAAAACAAAACACACACACACACTCCAAATAAAATAACCCAGCCTAGAAAGTGGATGGTACATGATCAAAAGATGTTTGCCCTGAAGGTTTGAACCAGTACATGAGACAGGTGGCTGTACCTCAAACCTTGGATTTTCCCCCCGACTGTATCAGAAGGCATCAGAGAACCAGCATTTCCTGTACTGTTGCTCACCAACAGCATCAAGCAGGATATATGAGTCTCAAAAATCAGCAAAAATGAGTTAGCAGTTTTGCCACTGAGCTCTTGAGGGTTTCACTGGGCTCTGCAAACAGGCTCTTCTACCCCTTGAGACTTGGTTTGGCTTTTGTACCCTCTTCCCTGACAAAGCTCTTTCCATGGCTGGGACCCAAACTCCAGAGCCAGCAGCTCTGCAGCCCTGAGCTCCTCCCAGGACCCCCCTAGACAGAGACCATCAATAAATGACCTCCTCCTGTATAAACAGGTGCCCCAGTCACACTGCAGTGCCAAGCCAGCAGCTTCTGCAGGCGCTGGAAAGCTCTGTGAACATTGCAGGGATTCACAGCAGCCCCCCAGTCCCAAAGATGCTAAGAAAGAACCGAAGCTGGAAAACTTTGGCACCGCTGTTAATAAGTCACACATGAACAGCGTGGGGGAGAGCTGACATCATGGGGGCAATTAAAAAAGCCCATTTAGGAGCTCCAGTGCAGGATGGCAGCTGTGGGGACAACTGACAGTGGCCACCTCTGTTGCTCCCAGACTTTCCTAGTGTGTGCCCTGCTGCCTTCACACCCAGCCAGAACCCCCGGCGTGGCCAAGGCAGCTGAGCCCTGAAGCATCCTGTTATTAGAAGATTATTAATAAGCAACAGCTCCTCACTCCAGCTTTTATCTAGGCTTTCTTTAGCTCCAAATTATGCCTGCTGATCACTTATGCAACTATTATGAAACATCTACAGTAAAGCAGCACATCCTCATCTTGTCTAATTAAAGGAATTGTAGCCAGTAACAACACCAGCACTCTTTCTTCTAAAAGAAAAAACTGCTAATTATTTTTGCCTTTCAAGAACAAAATGGCACTGATGGGATCAACAAAACAGGTGAGCACAAAGGCAGCCAGGCTTTTGTGCTTCAGGAATGTGCAGTACCAGAGTACAACACAGAAGGGCGAGAAGGAATGAACAGGCTCATTTTGGTCCACTGCACCTCTGAGAGGTGACACCCCACACCTCAGCCCTGCCACCCTCCCAGGTCCATCATGAGGGGCAGCATGGACAGCACTGCCATCAGGGTGCTCGTTCCCAGCTTGGATACAGGAGGGAGAAACCCTTTCACAAGCTTCCTGCAACTGTAGGTCCCTTTGGAAACTCCTCTGAAGAGGGTTTGGGCTCCCCTGCTCCTCAGGTTAACTCAAAGCCCGAGTGATTCCAGCAGGAATTACAAAGCATATCCTCAGCTGCTACAGACTGAGGTGGCTCTTTCCAAAAGGACACCCGTAGCACTGCTCCAGGTGTGGAGCTGGCCCTTGTGGGGACGGGGTGTCCACGTGCAATCCACGTGCAGCTCATGCAACAGGCTGTGCTGATCCCCCCACGGAGATCCCACGGCCCTGCCAGGGGGGCTGTACCTTCTCCTCGCTGCTGATGTTGCGGCTGGAGGTTCTCCAGGTGATGGAAGGGATGGGGTCCCCCGAGGCCTCGCAGGTCAGGGTGATCTGATCCTCCAGCTCCATGGCTGTTTTGTTCTCCACGTAGGTGATTTTGGGTTTGGCTGGGAAGGAAAAGCAACCCTTACTGAGTTTGGGGCTCGGGATGGAGCTCATCTGCTGGCAGCAGTGTTTGGGACAGGCAGCACTGGGGGAAAGGCTTTGGAACTGCGACCAGTTCACTGCCATACAGGGAAGGAGCAGAGTGGTGTTTGAGAAGAGACATCTCCTGGCACAACTAGAACCTCTTCCACTCATGCTTAGAGCTGAGGCTGGTAAGAGAGGACCAGGAGAGGGTGTACATGAAGTAGAAGTCATTTAACAGTGCACAAATGATCAGTCCCTGGGATTACCAGCTGAATCTTCCACCTCCCTGTCTACTTTCTCTGCCCCAAATCAGCCTTTTGCTAAGCAGCTTTGTCAAGAGGCTGCATATGGGACAGGGAGAATTATATTCCTTAACACTCCCAGATTCATAGAAGGCAGGAAAGCTGCTGATTCATCCCTACAAGCTTCAGGTCATTCACACAGGGGTGGGGTGGAGTTCACTTCCCTGCCCAGCTTAGAGCAACTCCCACTGGAGTGCTAAAGCAGCTTTGGGTGGATCAGGGCTCAGCCCTCTGGGCCTGGAAGTTATTTCAGGTAGCACGTGAGCCTCACCACAACACCCCTGCCCAGGGTTGGATTTCTCGTCTCAGAGGGGGAGCAGGATGGAGCTGGGAGCTGTTTCAGACACACACACAGGGTGGCAGAGGAGCACAGCATTCCTGGGAAAGCAGCAGCCCTGGATAAGCCCCGTCAGGCATTAACTGGGATAAGTAGGTTACTTCCAGCTTGCACTGGTGAGCTGCCAACACGCACTGGAGTGGGAAGGGGGGATGGTAAGAGCACGCTTACCGAAGACTTTGAGGTGGATGGTGGCATCTGCCTCCCCTGCCTTGTTCTCAGCGATGCAGATGTACTCGGCCTCGTCGCTCTTATCCACCTTCCTGATGACCAGCTCGGACCCGTCGTAGTTGAAGCTGTATTTCTCCTCATCATCAGCCTCCTCCACGGGCTCTCCATCCCTGGGGGCACAAAGCACGTGGGTGTTTTGGGGAGCAGCACCCAAAGGCTGCACAACCCCAGAAACAGCGTTCCTCATGTGTGCAGCACTGCCTGGCACTGAAATGCAGGGCTGGGAGGGGACACAGGCAAAGCTGACCTGGCTGAACACCTGCCAGTGGCAAGCACTGAATGAATCCCTTGCTTTGCTCTGCTTGCATGCACAGCTTTTGCTTTATCTATTAGACTGCCTTTATCTCAACCAACAAGTTTTTTTAACCGTTCTGATTCTCCTCCCCATCTGTGTGGGACTCTTCTGCCTACCAGGGTCAACCCACAGCAGAATCTGACTTCAGTTCCATCACCAGTCCACTCCTCCTCTTGTGAACCAAATCCATTCACTTCATTCCAGTCAAGATGTTTTTTCCCCTCCAGCCTGGTTTTCCAGGCCTTGGGGAATCACCCCTGCTCACCCTCCCCCCCAAGGACACGGCACACAGCATCTTACTTTGTCCACGTCACGGTTGGCTCAGGAAAACCATCAGCATCACATGCCAAGGTGACAGACTGGCTGAGGTTGGCAGTGGCATTCATAGTGCTCTGCCTGGCACGCACAGAAGGAGGTACTGGAAGAGAAGAAATCCACATCTGAGTCAGAAAGGACAGAAGGCTGAGCAAGAGGGAGCCCTGGGAGGCTCCCCGAGCGTCTCTGCAATAACCACAGATGTCACCAGTCACTCAAACCCTTCCACCATCCCCTGCAGGTTTCAATCAACAGGTTTGATGCACGAGCTCTCCAAAGCAACCAGCACAGGGAACAAAGGGCAGAGGGTGGGGAGATGCACCAAAAAAAAAAAAAAACAACACCATTGTGGTGGACAAAAGCACTTGTGAGTCCCAACAAGCTCAATTCCTCACTCACAGGACATGTCAGTTAAGTTTCCATCAGGTGAGAACTCCGTACAGTGAGGTTCTCACCCCCTGCTCTGCACCAGCCTTGCTCTGAGCTCTCACCATTCACAATGACCTGGATGTCCTTGAAGTTGATCTCCCCCCGAGCCAAGATCCTCCCCTCACACCTGTACGTCCCCTCGTCCGTCTTCTTGATGCCTCGGATCTGCAGGTAGTTGTTGGACAGGACGATGAACCGCACTGCAAAGACAGGAGGGAGGGTCACCCAGGGATCCCAGGAGAGCTCACTGCAGGTTCTGCTCCTCTCTGGGCCCCTTCTGGTGGAGTGAAACTTCCCTGCCCACCACTAAAGGCAGATGCTGCTGCAACCGACATTGCCAAGGGAGGAACCCGGCTGTGGAGAGCAGCTGAGTGCTGGTGCTGTGCAGTGTGAGCACTCAGATAATCCACAGGAACACATCTATGTGTCATTAGAGCAGGCAATGTGCTCCAGGCTTTACTGCCCTACTACCTGTGTGCCTGCAGCGAGTAGGTGTGACAAACCCAGCTGAGGCACAGCTGGAATCGGGGCTTTGGAGGCCTCTCTGGCCAGGGCTGGCTGCAGCTTTGGGAAAGAAAGGGAAAGGTTCTTGCAAGGATCTTTTAGCCCCTTTTCCTCAAGAAGGCTGCAGAGTGTCACAACATCCAGCTTTTCTGTCTGATGGCACGATTTTATCTGATTGTTTTCTCTTTAGCACTCCTTGGTTATTCCAGAGTCAAAGCCTGGTGGACATTTCTGTGGGAAGATCGCTGCCCTGCCACTGCCAAACCACAGCACCTTGACTAACTGAACTCACATCCTACAACCTAGTGCCAGGCACAGATTGCTCCCCCTCTCCTATTTTGTGTGTGAGCCTGATCTGAGCCCTGATGGGAGATGGACACCTGAATGGACGAGCACCAAGACCTTACCATCTTTTTTTAGGATGACATCCCTGCCTTTGTGCTTCCAGATGATGGTGGGAGGCAGCGAGCTGACCACGTCACACACGATCACAGCATCATCCCCTTCCTTGAATTCCTGGGGGGTGGGAGCGTTCTTGAACATCAGCTTTTCTGGAAGCAAGGGAGGGAGAAAGTCACTGCAGCTTTCCCAGCACACCTCGAGCTGTGCTCCTGACTCGAGCCTGAGGGATGCAACCCCAGAGGGCCCCAAACCCCCTGGAAATCATCTTGTTCCCAAGGGGAGGATAAAGGTGTGTCTGACTGAATGCACTGCCCCCGTTTTCCAGCCCTGCCCCCCAGGAATATCAGTGGGCCAAATCCATTCCCTAAATAACCCACACTGCAAAACGTGACCTTGGAACTGCTCAGCTTCCCAGCAGGAAGGGGAGAAGCTGCTCTCGTGGCTCTGCTGGCCAACATGCTGATGGCTTATTGTAAACATGCTGGGCCCCCTCACTCAGCACCAGAGCTGTCCCACAGCGTGTCTGCCACCCACAACAGCTGCTCCCTCTGGACACTCAGGAAGCGCCACAATCTTCCCCTTCCACCCACCCCTTGCTCCCTGAAGAACTTCCAGCCCTGCCTTTCTGAAGGACTGAAGCAGCAGCCGTGCTGGCCACGGGGCCAAGGGTCTGGTTCCCACCAAACCCTCACAATCCAGGAAGGAGGAGGCTGCGCCTTCTCAACACCCCCTCGCTTTTTCACCCTCCTTCCCCTGCTTTAGGCCCAGCCTTTTGCAGACAAGTCCAGCTCGTGCAGCTGCCCCGAGGCAGAGCAGGGCAGGGCAGGGCAGGGCAGGGCAGGACAGGGTGGGGCAGGGCAGGGCAGGGCAGGGCAGGGCAGGGCCCCACGGCCTTACGGAAGATCTTGACGTTGACGGTGGCCTCGGAGTCGCCGCCCTCGTCCGCGCTGCTGACCACGCACTTGTAGATGCCGGCGTCGTCGATGTTGGCGTTGTAGATGGTGAGGGTGGAGGAGAAGTCATCGTTCCGCACCACCGAGATGCGCTGCTGGTTCGGCGTCAGCTTCTCGCCGTTCGGGGAGAACCACGAGATGTCCTTGGACTTGGCCTCCCCCGCCACTGGGGGCAAGAGGGGACACACAGCGTGAGGCTGGGCCCCACCCTGCACTCCCCGGCTTTGGGACAGGGGGCAAGCCCTGCTTTGGCAAATATCCCCACTCAGAGGGCACCCCCACCTTTAAAGCACTGCCAGCAGCAAGTTAAACCCACACAGATGCAAGCCGTGCCTTAAGCCAGCGCTCACCTTGACATAAGAAGAACTTGGACTCTCCAACGCTGATCTCCCCCTGACTTGGAACGATGTCCACTTGTAGAGAGGCTGGGAAAGAGCAGAGCACACAGGGGATGGTTAACCAACAGGAGTGGTCTTCAGCAAAAAAGCTCTGCTGGCCTTCCAACCCCCACAGCTCCCTTATTCACCCAGTGGAATTCACCAAGCAGAGTCCAGTATAACACTCATTTTCTGGCCTGAATTACACTGGTACCAAACAAGTGAGAAAGGACAGCACAGGTCCCCATTCCATGTCCATTTACACCCAGCCCTGCCCAGTGCAAATTCATGCACGCCCAGTGCCCTTTTCCCCCAGCAACATCCCTGCCTTCTTCATTGCATAAATTATGACCCATTAGGCAGAAAATGTAATTGGATTCTGGCTTTCCTCCAGATATAGCTTAATTCCACAGCAGATCTGTGGCCTAACAAGCCCAGGTCAAGTTGAATTTGAGGACGCCAAAATGAATAGGTTTTCTTTCAAAACCCTCCTTGTAGTGTTTTCACGCTGTAGTGCATGAAAATCCCTCTCCCAGAACAGCTCATTTTACCTCCAGACCACAGAGGTGTTATTTTAGCTGCCAACCACACCTGGGTTTTCAAGGAACACGCACTGCCTGAGAAATTAAAAGCTGGCTGTATGTGCCAAGGGCAACATTCCTTAAAGTTCTCTGGAAACATGGATGGGGGGTGAGGCATTAGGGCTGCAGCTACACACAGCTGAGGGAGCACTGCCTGCCCTCATTAGAAAAGGACAGAAGCATCAGGATGGTGTGAGCACATTCCCGCAGCCAACAGCCACTCTGACACAGCACTTCCCACGAGGACACTGGAAGCAATTATCGGGAGCCAGTGGAGCCCCACAAAGGACAGTCCCAGGGCAAGGTCCGAGCCACCCTTCTGGCTTTGCTCTCAGGGCTTTCAGAGCAGCCATCAGCTTGCTTTCTCCTCAGGCAAGCACTGCTATCAAACCATGGGGTACTGCTGAAATGGCTTTGAGCTAATTGAGATCTAATATAAATTCATACCCCCCCCCCTTTTTTTTTTTTTTTTGCCATGCTACACTATATAAATACACCACTGGCCCTCTCCTGCACTTGTGAGAGTTGCTGCCTGCTGGGAAGGCAGTGGCACGGGCTGGGGTTACTAATGCCTTTCATTCCACTCTCAGGTGTTCTCTGTTACAGCAAGGAAGGAGAAAAAAAGGCTCTGTGTAAAGCATTGAACTTTTCATCACCCCCCAGTTCAGCATCTGGGCTCTACCTCACATCTTATTTTCTGTATGTCTGTGCCACAGCAGATGCAAAGAACGGGAGGAAACCACACAACCTGGGAATATCTTACTGTAATTACAGCCAAAAAGGGCCAGGCAAGAGATCTGAGCCCAGGCAACGCTCAGCTCCCAACACTTTCACTTATTTTTTTCCAAGGGCTCAGCTCCTTCTGTGCATTTCAGATTTTCAAGAGAATGAAACCTAGAAACCACCCCTGGGACACAGCGAGGCAAAACTCTTTGGAGTCTTGGAAAGAAGCAAAGGAAGGACATCCCTGGATATACCTCACTCAGTCAGTGCTCCCTCTGCTCCCCCAGCTGCAAAGTTACCATTAAACCTCATCATTACTGGCCTAAGAAAGAGCATTTCTGCAAAGGTTGTGCAGAGGGGCAGCGATTCCTTCACCACCAATCCCCTCGTATGTCAGCACAGCCCCTCCAGCAGTGACGGGAGGGAGGCACAGGAAAACCTCCTGATGCCATTCCTGACTCCAGAAAGGCACTTTGCAAACCCAGGAATGGCCAAAAGACAGAAACTGTATCCTGGTGAGCAGCAGGAACCAGAGAGCCAGTGTTAACAAACCTACTTCACACCACACTTCAGCCTGTTAAATTTAATCCAGGAACAAGATGCTCAAGTACCCCAAGGTAGATCAAAACCCAACTGCCGTTTCAAGTGCTATTTCGCTCCAGTTTCCATCAGGAGAGGAAATTCCCAGCGCTCATCTATGCAGAAACACACCAAGGGTACTTATGAAAGGCACAAAACACACTCCAGAAACTCTCAACATTTCCACTCTGCCACACGTGCTGAGGAGCAAAATTCTACCTGGCTATCTTTAGGCTTCTGTGTCTCCTGATGGAGGGTCTGTGCAGGACACTGGACAGGCTGTGGGGCTGCTCCAGCCCTGGGCTTTGTCCTCACAGTGTTTTTGCCAGCAGTGTTGAGGCTCTGTCCTACAAACAGCCAGATCCCTGGAGCTGGAGCTGGGCACAGGAGAGCCCAGCTGTGTGCCCAGCAGCTCCAGTCGGGGACACTGAGGAGAAATGTCCCCCTGAGTGACTCACACCAGGCTCACCTGGCACCAGGGAGAATCCAGCCCTGACTGTCCCAACCAGCCCTTCCCAGCAGAGAGCTTTGCTGACACCACAACCTGGACAAACAGGTCCATCAGAACCACCAGCTGTGCCTGTGCCTGGAATTACACAAACAATTGCTCCCTGCTCGCTAAACTTTACTGCTGGGTGTACAACCAAACCAACAAACCCAGCCCTGCACGGGCTTTAATCACTCTTTAATCGGTATTTTTGCTCTGCAGTTCAGGCAAACGCAGACTATTTTTTCCACTCTTCATTTAATAGACACTGGGAGCCCATTTGTATTCCGCTTCCAGCTTCAAGCAATAAAGGCCTTTTTAGCATCACATAATAACTGCATTAAAAGGCCTCTTCATAATCACACAATAACACTTTTTATAGCTGTGCCCTCCCCCATATCTTTTATCTGGTTACAAAGTTCCCCAGCCCCCAAATAATGCTGAATAATTCCCCATTGATTTGGGGGAAAAAAAAAAAAATTGCTAATGCAACTTCCTGTTCATCTGTAGTTAAATATAATTAGTTTTGCATTTCAACAAAAGAAAGGGGCTCAAATTAAGCCATGATTTGGGTAATAGGCAGGGAGGCTGTGCCCTGCCGGGCTAAGACTGAGCCCAATGCAGCAGGGTTTACCTGGGGAGTAAATAACGTGCCACTTGCAGCAGAGGGAAGGGAGTCTGGAATATCTGCCCGTGCCCATGCCAAGGGAATGTCCTGGAACACTCCATACACTCGGGACAAACCTGCAGCAACGCAAATCTACCGTGGGGTTACGTCTGTGGATAAATGAGAGTTCTCTGCAGGGAAAATGCAGCACCTTTTGGCAAATAAAGCACGACAGGGACAAAACCAGCTGTGTACATCCCCTGTATTCCCTTGTCAAAGACTGTACCTTTATTTTCATTCATTTCCAGCAACAGTTCTCCGATTACACTAAATTGCAGAAATAAAAATCATCGGGGGGGAAAAAATATCTCCTGGGTCTAATGCCCAGAGCTCTCTGAGTTAAGGGCAGGATTTGTAAAGCTTGTGAGCGCAGCAGATTACGGTGAAAGCCCTCAGGATTTAATACACAACAAAGGCTTAACAAGACAAAGACATGCCTCCTGTACACGGTCACTTTATTAAAAATACGCTGACTGCTCAGGAGGAGGAGGAGGAGGAGGCAGCTGGGATTGATCCCAGCTGGGCTGCAGATCCAATTCCTCCCCCGTCGCCATGGGAACCACTCCCTAAATCTGCCAGGAACTGGAGGAGGGGACGGCTGGTACCTTTGGGGAATATCAGATCATAGGGAGCCGGGGAGGCAGCAAACAGCAGCTCAGCTCAGCACAGCTCAACACAAAGACACGTTCCGAGGAGAAGCAGCTGCAAATAAACCCATCACAGCACAGCCTGGGGTGACCTGGACGGGAGAGGATGCTCCTCACCCACCCTGCTCCTAAACGCTCCCTCCTGCACCCAAAGCCATCCCGACAATGCCTGCACTTATTTACATACTATTAACACCTTTTCCTACAGAGACTTAGGAACCAAAGCAGAGTTGTCAGAGGTATCAGTGGTTTTACACTGAACACACGTTTATGCCTTTTCTGATGGCGTTCCTGATAGAAGCTTTTTGTTGCCACAGATCATAAAACTAATAGTCCTATTTGCCACAGCAAATATTTTCATTTACCTGAGGCAGAGTGAGCCAAGGTGCTTTATGGAGCCATTAAATCAGAGCATGGACAATTTTAATTAAAAACTATGGGAGCTGCGACGTTCTGCCAAAAAAAGAAATTTGGGTGAGTGACATCGCGTTAAGAACCCAGGGAAGATGAGAAAAACAGGATTTGCTAAAGCTCATGATTCAGGACTAATCTTGCTGTGGCCAGTTTGTCTTGGCAGCCTGTGAGCAGCTCACACACTGCATTTGGGGGAGGACAGAACTCCGAGGCTCCTGGAAGTCCCCATCAAGCTGAACTGGGTGAAAAGCTTGAAATTTGGTATTTACTTCACAGAAATCATTCACTTCAGTGTAACATCCACAAAACTGCAGTTACCTCATTGGCTCCAGGAAGGCACATTCCAGCTCTGGCCCATTCATTCTGTAGTTTAGAAGAGTTTCTCCCTCTGCTAATTCACATGGGAATGTCTCAGGAGGAAAATAAACCTCTCTCTTGTAAGAGAGGCCCTTAAATATTCCTCCTGCACTCAGAGCCTGAGCTGTGGCTCACAAACACTTCAGAGAGAGCACTACATATTGTAATACTTTAAATTCATATCTGGAGCCATCAGCTGCCAAGTGCAAAGTGCCAGGAATCAATAGTTCATTTAATGTGTCTATTAATCTTTCATACCTAGAGGGACCTGGGAATCCTGTGATAGCTGAATATCACTAGAGTTTGGAAAGAGCTAAAATTCATGGACTCAGACTGATAATAAACAGGGATTATCAACGTTGCCTTACAGCTTAATATTTCAAGATTAAACAGTCCCATTTTTCCTCGCTGTATCAGGTGAAAAAGAAAGTTAATTAAAAAATTAAACAGCATTCAAAACATAGGAAGGTTCTTTCACTGCATAAAATCACATGGGAAGAGCAGAAGGCATAAGGAAGCAAAAGAACAAGAAAACACGTCAGTATTTATAATTCTTATAATTTTTTTGTGCAAGCCTTCGATGATGGCGAACAAAACCACCTCAGCCACTTATCCCCCATGGACAAAGCACTGACACAGGGCAGACTGCTGGGTGTTTCTGGGAATTTGGTGAACTTCCTGAACACATCAGTGCCTCTGGAAATACCACTGTAATTTGTGGGTAGGCTGTGATAACATTTGAAGCAGGATATTAACTGGAAGACCTTTTGCAACCACCACGCCGATGGAACCTCCAGAATTTCAGCACTGTCATTAGGACCATCAGCACCATTAATGCAGCTTCCCATTGAATAAAAACCAAAGCATTAATAGAATGGAAACAGAAGCCCAAAGACTGGGAAGAATAACATGCTAATACAGTGCCCTATTTGCTCAACAAGCACAGGGACAAAAAATCCCTTCAGGCAAGAGTGAAATGAGCTTGTTTGCTGCCTCCTCTCTGCTGCTGCACCGCTGGTTTAACTCTCTGGGTGTCAGACTAATGGCAAGTTACAGGCAGTAAATCAGTGCCCTCCTCATTCAGCAATGCAACAGAGGAGGAACAGTTTACACCAGCTCCAATCTAGACGTCATTTACAGCCAGGGAGCCCAGAAAGGGCTGATCCCAGGGAAGGAACAAAAGGAATCTGAACCCATCCAGACCCAGTGTATCCAAAGGCCTCACAGCATCAGCTGTGACTGGCAGGATAAACAGGCACCAAATTGCCACAAGGCAGGAAAATGCTTCATCTGCTGTCCTTGGGGAAGCCTTCTGGAAACCCAGGGAAACTCAATCTCTGCAACTCATAAGTTATGCAAGTCAGACAAAGGACGTTTTAGCTGAGCATTTGTGCTTCGAAAAGTAGGAGAACTGTCAGAGTTCAGGAGCAAACCCCTCTTGGTCACTCCTTGCAATAACTTACTCCAAGACTTGCAGCAATTTCCTCCATGTAAGCACCAAGAGAAAACCTGTGGGGCACCCTAAGCACAGCTGGACTTTCACAGCCCTCCCTGTGCAGTAAAACACAAGAGACAGGGGAAAACTGGAATAGCAGGGAACTGGAGCCCTGCTGCTGTCACTGGGTGCTCCATGTGACACTGCTCCTGTGACAGGTCTCCAAAAAAAACCCAAATAAAGAAGTCACACACACAGATTCACCTTCTGACCCCGCTGTGCAACTGCTCGACACAGCTCTGAGCTCAGGCACCAATGTAAGAGCTGGTTACCTTCACTCATGCTCTGATTTACATCCCCTCGGTGCACGGGGCTCTCTGGGTGTTCCACTGACTGAGCTCCGAGCAGGGCAGGTGTTCAGCATCTCTAATTCATCCTGCACACACAAACCCACCCCTAAAAGAGGACCTGTCCACTGCAGCAGCTTGGAAGGGAAGGGACAGAGCAGGAGAAGGCTGAGAACTGTGAGAGCACAGCCCAAGGCCCAGCGAGTCACCGAGAGCAGCCCTGCATTAAACCCATCCAGGCTTCCTAATCTGTGCTAAACCCACTGCAACCCCACCAAACTCAATGATCAAAATGTAAGCAACAAATCTATAATCCCAGGGAAGCAAAGCCAGCCTGGTCAAGCCCTACACACTAATCCATCACTCCTCTCTCCTTCCTTTC